TAATCACCCCTTTGTTAATTAGGTTTTAATCCTTGAAGGCCCTATTGTAACTTACATTGGGCCATAATAGCTATTTTAACTAAGGGGTGTCTGGAGTCCACTGTATCGAGCCAATCTGTAACTGCTAAAGACTTAGTTTCTTGGGTTGTTAAAAAATGTCTATTTATTTTGAGAGCCAGAGAGAGAGCACACACAAGTGAGCAGGGGAGGGGCAGACGGAGAGGGAGAGAGAGAGAACCCAAGCAGGCTCTGCACTGTCAGCGCGTGGGGTTAGATCTCACGAAACACGAGATCACGACCTGACCTGAAATCAAGAGTCAAACGCTTACCCAACTGAGCCACCCAGGTGCCCCAGCCAAGGATTTAGTTTTAATTTATTGTTGATTGCATTAGAGCGTGTGTGTCCAATATGGCATATTTTTAGGGCAATGGGTATTCTGACTATGGAAAATTTAGGCAAGGCTATAAAGTGAGACATTCCTAGGTTGTTTTGTTTTTTTTTTTTTTTTTCTCTAGCTTATATTTAATTACTTTCTTAAGATTATAGCAGGCACGATGTTTAAGTTTAGTGGAATCTCTGGCTATAACTACAATTTGAGCCCCAGTATTAAAACCATAAAGTTTTGTCAATTGGTACATTTTGCAACTGCTAGAGTTAATTTAGAGCTTGGGCTGCAGACACACAAAAGACAATCAGCACTGTTTTTATCTTTTTGTTATACAAATTGTTTTAGTATGTAAGTTTTTTGTACATAAACTTTGGATTTCCAATTGGGTCAAATTAAGAAAATGTCTTTTAGTTAGATATCATGTATACATATGTAAAGTATCTATTATACATTTGTGTTAAAATATTATATAGATACATAATCTATTTAGTTACCTTTTATTTTCTCCCTCTGCATCTAGGGATGTTTTGTTCTTTTTTCTCTGCCTACCGTTTCTCTCCTGTTTCAGGCTTTTAGCTGCCCAAAAGAGTGGTTTCTAGTTTCTGTCTCCAGCTGGTAAGAGGAAAGACGGAGAGAAGAGCCCCAATATTTCCACAACCTAACCTGTCCCTTTCTTGGAGGATTCCCAACACACATCTTTTTTTTTTTTCCTCTTAAAATCTTTTAGGGGCGCCAGACCTTGTTTTTCAGCTCAGGTTATGACCTCACAGTTTGTGAGTTCAATCCTGCTTGGGATTCTCTCTCTCTCTCAAAATAAATAAATAAACTTAAAAAAAATCTTTCAGAACAGCCAGACAGCTGTATCTCTAGATGGGTAAAGTTTTTCTTTTTTTTTTTTTTTTCCCTGTCTCCTGGCTGTCCCAGACCTTCCCCTGCCCACCCCCCACCCCCCACCCCCACCTCCTCTGTTTTGCTTTTGAATGTTTACCTGATAAAAGTCCTAGTCTGAATAATTCCAGCAGGATTGGGGGCATAGGGGCTGTCCCTAGATGTCTGGCCCCAAACCCTGGGTTGATCTAGGGCAGGGGAAATATTGGCAAGGGATCGAGGGTTATATAAAGGAGGGGCCTGTGGGTGTGGACGTAGGACAGGCGAGAGGGTTTGAGTAGGACTTTCAGAGCTTGCAAAAGCAGCATCGCACGTGAGATGTAAACAACTTTGGCTGTTCGGGCGGGCCTGTGGTTAGGAGATGTCAGGCACACAAATACAGAATCCAAAAAAACGGTTTGAGCAGCGCTGGGGCACGCTGGGACACTCTCCAAGACGCTAGTGTGTCACCGCAGCCACGTGTGTGTTGGGCATACCATAAGAGCTTCCAGGCATAAAAAAGCTCCCCCCCCCCACAAAACCCCGAAGGCAACAAAAGAGAACCTTCCGCGGTAAACATCTGTCGTTTTCACCCGTGGAGGACTGTCTGTTCACCGCATCTTGATATCCCTTCGGAGAGCCACCCCTTCCGACTCCCAGGCCACGCGGCTCTGGCCATTGTGGGAATGGCTTCCGACGACTGGAGCCCCAGAGGCGGTCACGTGACTTCCTCCTGGCCAATCAGCATCTCCCGCTGTCTAGGCCTCCGTGATTGGTTCAGGGATGGGCCCATGGTTCCACCCAGTCGGTTGGTAGAATGTACTGGGAGCAGCGCAGGTGTCTCTTTTCTGGTGGGGTTGTCAACCTGTTAGGGTGTCATCTTGGAGCTGGGACTGCGAAGGGGGCACCAGGTGGAGGAGGAGTGGGAGCTAGCCTGGGAAAAAACCGCCACAGAGGAGAGTACAGGCAAGCTAGGGAAAGAAACTGGGTTCTGATTGGATTGTCCGACGCCCTGGATCCTGCGGTGCGATCAAGTACATGAGCTGTTAAGTTCCCTTTCATACTTAAAAAATTTGCAAGGTGCAAACTAGTAGGCATAATATGCTACTGTTTATGTAATAATACGAGGGGAAAATAGTGTTTCTATGTATCGGCTTGCAAATGCATTTAATTTTTTCTGATAAGAAACTAATAATCAAAGATACCTGTTGTGGAACGGTAACTCAGTAAATGGGGGAAAGAATCGTAAAAAGACTTCTCTGTATATCCTTTTCTATCTTTCGACATTTACACAGCTGAGAGTGTTACCCATTCATAGTATTAAATACAGACTTCTAAAAATACAAAAACTAGAGGCTGCAATGGTATTTTATAAACCTTAGGAAGAACAAATCCTATTACATCAACAACATTGAATTTTCAAAGTATGTTCTAGTAAGATAAGTATATTTCCACTCCTAATCACTCAGGAGCAAAGTAAAAAACATTAACAGTTAAGAGACCAAATAGATGAAGCAAGATCTTAATTGAATTTAAGGTTAGGGGTGCCTGCTGGCTCAGTCAATCAAGATGCAACCCATGATCTAGGGTCATGAGTTTGAGGCCCACACTGGGTGTAGAAATTACTAAAAAAATAAATAAAAATTTAAAAGTAAATAAGTAAAGTTAAGGTTATGTATACACAGCCTACCTTGTGTTATGTTTGCTGAGAAGATTCAGGAAGCTTTCTGAGATATCCAGTGATAACTGCAAAGTTCTTCCAGAATATTCGGTGTTATCCACAAGGAACTTCTGTCTCGGAGTAGGATGTAGTAGGTATCAGTACGTCATCATTCCTGCTGCAGCAATTGGGGGTAAGGATAAGCTACAAAAATCATATATATTTGTTTAAGTTCATTTATTGATTTTTGAGAGAGAGAGAGAGAGAGAGAGAGCGCGCGCGCCCCCCCGCGCGCGGGGTGGGGGAGGGGCAGAGGAGACAGAGACGCAGAATCCAAAGCAGGCTCAGGCTCCGTGAGCCCCATGTGGGGCCTGAACCCACGAACCGGGAGATCATGACCTGACCGAAGTTGGATGCTCAACCAGCTGAGCCACCCAGGCACCCCTCCCCGACAAATCATATTTTTAAAGACATCAAAGAGCAGTGGAAAACAGAGAAGGAAGAGCCCATTCTGGGTGAGCTGAGATTGTTGGTCATTTTTTCCCTGGGGCATTTGTGAAGTCTGGTCATAGGCTAACGACTGGGCTTGGTTTACACGGAACTGTTGAGGCCACTCAGGCTATTGTTACAGGCTAGAATCTAGATACGAGGCTCTTTTGCCCATGGGATATTTGGTAAGTGCTGGGGTAGACTGGGGGCAGGGGATAGGGGAGGGCCTGGCTGGGGCCTTGCCTGGAAAGGCAGGGTAAGATCTGCATTCTCTTACTGTTTAGAAGGCTGAGTCCCCTAAAGGGAAGGGGCTGCAACAAACACAAGGCAAATCTCATTCTCACGGTAATTAAAAACAGGGGTGGACAGAGTCTAACTAAAGTTGCAACTCACTTCAACTCAGCTCCATTCTGATTGGGTTGAGGCATCATCCCTTTAAGCTATGTTGCCTTCCGGAGGATGGGTAAACCCTCCGGGGGAAATATAATTAACTTCAACTTCTGTGATTCTTTTATACACAATATTTGGCATATAATAGAACATTGTAAGTCATCGAAAAAGCAGGTTATCGTAGACTGAACATTGGCCTCCCCAAGATATGTCTGTCCTAATTCCTGGAGCCTGTGAATGTAGAGACTTTGCAGATGTGATTAAGGATTTTAAGATGGAGGGGCGCCTGGGTGATGCAGTCGGTTAAACGTCCGACTTCAGCCAGGTCACGATCTTGCGGTCCGTGAGTTCGAGCCCCGCGTCAGGCTCTGGGCTGATGGCTCGGAGCCTGGAGCCTGTTTCCGATTCTGTGTCTCCCTCTCTCTCTGCCCCTCCCCCGTTCATGCTCTGTCTCTCTCTGTCCCCCAAAAAATAAATAAACGTTGAAAAAAAAAAAAGATGGAGACATTATCCTGGTTTATCCAGGGGGACCCAATAAAAGCACAGGGGTCCTTATAAGGAAGCAGGAGGGTCGTAGTCAGTAGAAGGAGGCATTAAGATAGAAGCAGTAAGTTGGAGTTACGGGGAGACGGGATCACAAGTCAAGGAATGCAGGTCCCCCAAGAAGCTGGAAAAGACAAAGAACTGGATGCTTCTTTGGAGCTTCCAGAAGCAACCAGCTCTGCCAATACCTCGACTTTAGCCCCACGAGACTGATTCTGGACCTCTGACCTCCGGAACTGTAAGATAATAAATCATCATTGTCTTAGACCACTACATTTGTGGTCATTTATTATAGCAGCAATAGGAAACTGATACAGCAGGGCAATGCACCTGATCATCAAGAGGGGAAAAGTGAGCCAACGAAAGTAGACCCACATCTGATCTGGATGTCAAGGATTTAAGATAACTATTTAAATATGTTAAAGAGGGGCGCCTGGGTGGCGCAGTCGCTTAAGCGTCCGACTTCAGCCAGGTCACGATCTCGCGGTCCGTGAGTTCGAGCCCCGCGTCGGGCTCTGGGCTGATGGCTTGGAGCCTGGAGCCTGTTTCCGATTCTGTGTGTCTCCCTCTCTCTCTGCCCCTCCCCCGTTCATGCTCTGTCTCTCTGTGTCCCAAAAATAAATAAAAAATGTTGAAAAAAAAATAAATATGTTAAAGAAAATAGTGGGGGCAACGGACAAAATGGTGACCAGATGGGGAATTTCAACAGAGAACTGGAATCTGTAAAAGCCAAAGGAACATTCCAGAATGGACACATGTAACATCTGAAATAAAGAATTCCGATGGGCTGAGTGGCAGAGTTGGACACAGCAGAGGCAAGAGGTTGGTAAACTTGAAAACGGGCCAATGGGAAATATCCAAACGAAAGTACAGAAAGATAAAGTAGCAAGAACAATGTTAACTGCAAAGAATATAATATTTGGCTAAGAAGATTATTCATTCCTTTAATCTTAGAACGTTTGTTGTAGAAAATAAAACGGAATCTGTGTATTTAAACTATAAAGAAACTCACTTTATAAATCATATTGTAGATTCCCCTATTAGCCTCCTGGATCTAGTAACATAAAATAAAGCTTCTAGCAGTTTCGACTCTAAAAACTGAATTTGTCTTCACATTTGTAGAATGGAGGTGGTGGTGCACGTCTCACAGGACTAGGATGAGAATTAAGTGACACGAGGCCCTTAGCATAAGGCCTGGCACAGAGTAAATGCCCATTGGAGACATCTGCCCTGTCACGTGTCGTGAACTCCTATCACATGAAATGAGGTTAAATGAGGTAATGGATATAAAGTGCTCTGTCAAGTCCTTACAAATGGTGGTTTTTCCTATCATAGCATGAATCTCAGTTTACCAACTCAGGTGTGTGATAAATGGTATTTTCTTTATTTAAAAAAAGGTTTTTTTTAAATATTTATTCATTTTTGAGAGACAGAGCAGAGACAGAGCATGAGCGGGGGAGGGGCAGAGAGAGAGGGAGACACAGAATCCGAAGCAGGCTCCAGGCTCTGAGCTGTCAGCACTGAGCCCGATGTGGGGCTCGAACTCACGGACCGCGAGATCGTGACCTGGCTGAAGTCGGACGCTTAACCGACTGAGCCACCCAGGCGCCCCAATATTGTCTTTATTTTGAGATAATTCTATGTTTTGGGCTCCCAACTGGCTAGAGTGACAGCAAATTAATCTCAGGAATCGGGGCTCTTCTTTCCTTTCTGCTGAATGGTACTTGTGTTCTAGAGGCTCATGTTGTGCCAACGTGGGGAGGGTGGGTGGTCCTTATGTTTCCCCGGAGTCAGCCAGAAGTATCTTGTTCCTGTACATGTGCCTTCTTCAGGACTCTCTCCTCAACTTCCCTTCCCACTTTGGGGGCCATGGGGATCTTTCTGCCGCTATGGTGCCAGACGAGGGCCTGGGGGTCTTAGAGAGGCTGCTTGGGGCACAGCTTGCCCTGACACCCTAGACAGTAGTGTCTTCTCTGCCATTGTGTTCCCTGGGGTACTGCCCGGGAAGCAGGGCCCCTGGCCTTTCTTTCTGGAACCCATCTCATCACCGTTCTCACAAATTAATTCCTCATTTATTTTTCCTCTGTGTGAGGGGCTTTTTATCTGGTCTCCATAGAGAATTCTGTCTTCTTCTTTTTTTTTTTAACGTTTATTTGTTTTTTGAGAGACAGAGAGAGACAGAGCATGAGCAGGGGAGGGGCAGAGAGAGGGAGACACAGAATCTGAAGCAAGCTCCAAGCTCTGAGCTGTCAGCACAGAGCCCGACACAGGGCTCGAATTCATGAGCAGTGAGATCATGACCTGAGCGGAAGTCGGACGCTTAACCGACCGAGCCACCCATTTGCCCCTAGAATTCTGTCTTCTTTTTTTTTTTTTTTTTTTTTTTTACGTTTATTTATTTTTGGGACAGAGAGAGACAGAGCATGAACGGGGGAGGGGCAGAGAGAGAGGGAGACACAGAATCGGAAACAGGCTCCAGGCTCCGAGCCATCAGCCCAGAGCCCGACGCGGGGCTCGAACTCCCGGACCGCGAGATCGTGACCTGGCTGAAGTCGGACGCTTAACCGACTGCGCCACCCAGGCGCCCCAGAATTCTGTCTTCTTAATAGGTGTAGGCCCCTGGAAACTATTGTTTGGGACTATAAGATCCCCCCACCCTTTATCTCTGGGGAGTATGTTCCAAAACCGCTCCCACCAAGGGATGCCTGAAACCACAGATAATTCGGAACCCATACACTATTTTTTCCTGTACATACATACATACATACTTAGGGTACATTTTCATTTATAAATTCAGTAAGAGATTAACAACAACAATAATAAAGTAGAACCATCTAACAATGCACTGTAATAAAAGTTATGTGAATGTGGTCTCTCTCTCTCAAAATACCTTATTGTACTGTTCTTGCCCTTCCTCCTGTGAGGATGTGCCATAAAACACCTACATGTTGAGGTGAAGGGAGGTGAGTGACGTAAGCACCCTGACGTGGCGTTCGCCTACGCCCTCTGCTTCTGAACTGGGCTGCCCGTGGATAACTTAAACCGTGGAAAACGAAACCGCGGATAAGGGGGCCTACTGTATCGTTTTCTGCCGAAGCAGCTTCAAGCTACAGGTCATGGCACTGGAAGGGACGCTGCTTCATGTGTGGGGGGCAGAAATCTCTGTGGGAGGTCCCCTGTGAGCCGCTGGCTGACAGCTGGGACGCACGTGTGTAGGGAAAGACTACGTGGGGCTTCCGGCGAGAGGCTGCTACAGGGCTGAGAATTAAACAGATCCTGGAGGTCTGGCAGATAACTGAACCTAGAGCACCTCCAGGGTATCATCCGCAGGGGCCACTAAGCAATCTAAAATCCCTACACAGGCAAGAAAACAGGACAATGTGACCCAGATGAAAAACAACAAAACAGTCGGTAGAAACTGACCTCAAGATGGGCCAGATGTTGGATTTAGCAAAGACTCTAAGTAGTATAACTATGTCCAAAGATGTAAGAGAAAGTTACGTTCCAAAGAACTAAAAGAAAATATGGTCAGAATGAGCGTGCCGATGGGAAACTGAGACCAGCAGGTAAGGAGATCCAGGGATCTAAGCGCTCTCAAATTGATCTACCAAATCCTCATTATTTTAGACCCTCCTTCGCTCCTAATTCCTGGGATTCCTGGTTCTTTTCGTGGTTGTTCCTTTTTAGGATTCTGTGGTATAATATAAACTGCGTTGGTTTTTACCGAATCCCACTTCTGGCTCGGGAATGGTCGCTTGGATCTTCTAAGACAATCACCATCCCTCTTCTGTTGTCTGGCCTCCAAAACTGTGTTACCATTGTCTCCTCTGTTCTCCTTGTCCTTGTAGATTTATTGTAGTTTGTTAAAAAATCAGTTTACTATGGTTTTAATAAGGGTTTTAGAGGGAATGAATGTAGATGTACATGTTTCATCCACAGTTACAGCCCGGAACTCCTGCATTAAGTCTTAAAAGTGATTTAAATAGCATAACACTTCCTGGAAACCGTTCTCATCCAATATGTGAACAGCCGTCTGTTGGCCTCCCCCTCACTAAAAGGCCTCAAATGAGATTTCTTAATCTGTCTGTCTTCTTGTGCTCTCAAGGGCCACCAGACCTCTGAAATAAATTAGAGTTATGCTGGTCCCCAGCCCATTACTTGGACATGATAAATCAGGAAGAGGGAGACGCTCACTTTCTTCTAAGGAAGCAGCCATCCTCGGGGGGACCTGCGCTCACCACAATTTTACAAATGCATACCTTCTTAGACACGCCTGGCTTTTGATGACAGCAAATATTAAATTATGCTTCAACTATAAAACCTCTATTGCATCGAACTCGAGCTAACAACATTAAGTGATTTCCTAGGTTTAAAAATCTAAAAGGCTTTTTCTTCCCTTAAACAAGTCCTGCCAGCCCCAGCATTAATTATTCTTGATTCTTATTAGAATCATTCTTTTGCCATGAGAGGCGGGGGGGAGAAGTACCTTTGTTGTACGGAGACTGACGGGGACAACTCCCCTCCTGCCTATTATAGTTCTCTATGTGGTTGGTAGCTCCCGACGTGCCTCCAGCCTGTGTTCTGTGACCGGGACACCTATGTGGTTGGAACCTTCTTCCATTTTTTGTCTTGGCTCCTCTCTCAGTGGCGAGGGGGCTGCTCCACTTCAGGCACAGAACACCTTCTCAAAACCAAACTATAATCCCTACCTGCTGTCTAAGGATGTCAGTATTCATTTTATGTATCTCAGCTGGCCACATTACCCTTCTACATTGCGCCCAAGCAAAGCCCACACCTTTATCTCCAATTCCAACATACTAAAAAAACCTTATAATTGTGCTCCTGCTTTTTGTACACCCCTCTGTTTGCCTTCACACAACGTTTCTCCCCTCTTTTTTGTTAACAGAATCTTGATTTCGTGCAAACATCTATGTACCTCCCGCCTCCCCTAGAAACTGGCTCGGGGGCAAATTTTGATTAGTTGGGTATCATTTCCCTAGACGAGATTGTTCAGTATGGATAAAGTTCTGACTTCTTTTTTTGTTGGTGGTAGTTTTTTTTTTTTAGGTTTATTTATGTATTTTGAGAGGGAGAGAGAGAGAGAATGAATGAGTGGGGAAGGGACAGAGAGGGAGAGAGAGAATCTCCTGGGGAGACTTCTGAGAAAGCTTTCCTCATTCCCAAAAATAGACCCTCAGAGAGTCATCCTCTTTTGCTGATCATTGTTGGGTCTGAGTGTGGCACCTCGAGCAACAGCAGCCTTCTCGTGACTGAGACAGAATCTAGCCTGGGGAGAGGAGAGGAGACAGATGAAAGACTGGGTCCTCCATGACGTCCCCAATTATACTAACCACAGAGCCTTTCCCCCTCAGGGAATCTTGTTCAATAAAATACTCTTAATTTTTAAAGCCAAAGCGAAGTTGAGTCCACTAGATTTTTTCTCTTTGGCCCTTCAGGTCCACTGTCCACTCCTCTCTGAGTCAGGAAGTTGGATTTGCCGATGGCCTGCATCGGCGGCAGATCAACGTGGAGGGATAGAGAGCAGTTTCCATAACCACCCCTTCCCTTTGCCCTTCCAGGTATGAGGGTAGCTTCCCTCTGTTGCTAGCTCCCCTCCCCGTTGGCTTCTGGAACCCTGCTCAAACTTTTGTAATCCCTCCATTAGCCTCTCTGAAATGTCCCCTTTCCAGTGTGCCGCCTCTTTTCTGTTGGGATCCTGACTGATACATAGGGTTTTCAACTGATGTAGGCACCGTTCACCTGACAGAGCTTGTAATGGCCTCAAAGACATTTTACTGTCATCTTTTACACGGATGGATCTGTTCACTGGTTTCAGTTCGTGAGGCAGGGTAATGTCCCCTTTGATGTCTGCCGTCTGCACAGGCGATGGGCTGACTGCTTTCATCAACACACTAGTCTTCTAATAAATTTGCCAATATTTTTATTGACACCAGATGACTTTGGGGTTGTTCATATTTATGGCCAATTGGGAAAACAACGAAGAGCAATAAATCTCCAAGTGTCTTTAGATTAAGGACGTGTTATGCCTTACAACTGTCTTCTGAAGAAACCTTGTGAGATGCTCCCGCTGGAAATGCTTTGGCTGCTGCAACCATTTCTCTCCTCTCAGGCCATCGTGTTGTTTTCCTCACCCACCAACCAGGCTCCTCCAACATCTCTCCTGGAAATTGCTCTGCTCCAAACCAGGCCCCCATGGTCTTCACCCAGCTCACCCTGGGTATTCCCCAGATGGCCACTTGATGGCGTCCAAGAATCTTCTCCCTCATTTCCCTCACATGATCCAGGAATGGCTCACATGCATAAAGGGGGTGTGACAAAGAAGTCTGATAAAGTTATTGATGTGTTTTGACATGTTCCATTGTGGATCATAGCGCTATCATACCTGCCATTAACAAAAAAAAATTTTTTAAGGTTTATTCATTTTCGAGAGAGACAGACAGACAGACAGAATGTGAGCAGGGGAGGGGCAGAGAGAGGGAGACACAGAATCTGAAGCAGGTCCCAGGCTCTGAGCCATCAGCACAGAGCCCAACGCAAGGCTCGAATGCACGAACCGCGAGATCATGACCTGAGCCAAAGTTGGATGCTTGACTGACTGAGCCACCCAGGCGCCCCTTGTGCCTGCCATTTTAAAAGCATACAATGGAAGGCACAACCCACAACACTATTATTCTGTTTCATTTCATCCAGATGAAGAAGTCTTGATCACATAAATAGGAATGTATGTTTACAGGATATATAGAAATATCACCATATGCAAAATATACTATTGTCATCAAAGAGCTGTGGAAGGTTTCACATTCAGATGTAAATACCCCTGTCCTTTAATATAATGGGACACACACTTTAGAGGTCGTACTGAAAAGGAAGTCTGTGAAGCCTCTCAGAAACAGCAAGAAAGTCACTGTAGACTTTCAGCATGGGGGGGTAAAGTGACAAAGTAGGATTTTGAAAACTAAATTGTCCAAGGTATGTGCAGATACCTGAATCAAACAGCCTAGATCCTGCCCTTAGTTCTGGTGAGTATAAGACACATAGCTTTCAAAGAGACAAGACTTTCTCGTCTTGAAATATTAACGGGTTGAGCCATAAAACTTCCCGCTATACTTCCAGGGGCACCCGCTTTAAAAACATCATATATTAAATGCCATTCTACTAAAGTAGGTGCAAAGCATTTTTTTTTTAAAAGGTCGTCAAGGTCTTACATTCGTAAGTGACCTAAGATAGCAAATGCTGTTGCGACTCTGCCTGTATCTACTGGATCCCTCTGATTCTGATTCCAATTCCAACCTGTGTTGTTTTTGCTCACACCAAGTGATTCTCTGCATCACCAGCTGTCCTACAAGTCAACTCAATTCTGACACTCTCTGCCTGGAGATGACATCGGATCCCACGGGTTAAGGTGAAGTCCTACAAGACTGTCCCACTCTTCAGATGCCAATCATAAGTTGGCACCTGGGGCGTCTGACCAAGCATTATAGACTGGAGGTTCCCATGGCCCCCTCCTTGGGTTCGGTTAATTTGCTAGGGCAGCTCACAGAACTCAAAGAAACATTCTAGATTACCATTTGATTTTTTTTTAATGTTTATTTTTGAGAGAGAGAGAGAGAGAGACAGAGAGAGACAGAGTGCGAGCAGGGGAGGGGCAGAGAGAGAAGAAGACACAGAAACTGAGGCAGGCTCCAGGCTCTGAGCTGTCAGCACAAACCCCGACCTGGGGCTTGAACCCACAAACTGTGAGATCATGACCTGAGCCAAAGTCAGACGCTTAACCGACTGAGCCACCCAGGCCCCCCAATTACCAATTTATTATAAAAGGATGTACAGTAACTCAGAAAGAGCTGTGTGGGACCCAAGGAATTTAACAAAAATCCCCCACCCCTGGACAAGCAGAGCAAGACTAATTCCATTTTGTGCTACACCCACCGTCTCATGTATAACCCCCATATGACCTACTTATTGCTTAAGACACTCCCCCACCCTAGTCAAGCCGCTGAGCACACCCTTACTGGAAACCGGCTCAAATAGGAATGCAGAACCCCTAACCGCCAGAGAATGTAAACCCCGCCTTTTGCCCGCCAAACTTGCGCGCCAATTCTGACCAGAGTGATAGGCTAGTTCAAACAGTTACTGTAGGGTAAATTGTAATTCAATTGGCCACCGGCGTGTGGACTGACATGACTATGCAACTTTCTGTGTGTGTTACAATCTCATTGGCCACTGGCCCCTATAAAACTGCTACCCCTTTTAACCTAGGGGTCCAAGTCCCTGCTCTGCTGTGTCAGGTATAGTTGGGCCCAAGCTCAAGCTTGCAAATAAACCCTCGTGCGTTTGCATCGGTATCGGCTCCTTGGTGGTCTCTCGGATTCGAAATCGGGGGCATTACAAGCTGCACAGGGCACGGTGTGGGGAAAGGTGCAAAGCTTCCATGGCTTCTCTGAGCACCACTCTCCCCAAATCTACACATGTTCACCAACCTGGAAGCTCTCCAAACCCCATACTTTTGGGTTTATATGAAGGCTTCATTACACAGGCATGATGGATAAAATTATTAGCCATTGGCAGTTAGATTCAACCTCCAACCCTTGCATGGAGGTCGGCGGGGAGGGGTGGGACTGAACCCTCTCATCACAAAGTTGGTTCCCCTGGCCACAGCCCACCCTTAGGAAGACCCAGGGGCTTCCCAAGTCGCTTCATTCACATAGCTTTAAAAGACGCCTTTATCACCCTCATCACTTAGAAAATCCCCAGGATTTTAGGAGCTCTGTGCCAGGAACAGGGACAAAGACCAAATATGTGTATTTCTTATTATAAATCACAACAGCACAATCCCTTTCACCATTTCTGTTCTGTGACCCTCCGGCTTCTGTGCCCTTCATTTCCAGTGGTTTCTATCTGTGACAGTTAGAGGCTCTCCCTTGGGCTGCTTTGCACACCAGCACACAAAGATTGCCAGGACTGCCTGGGAGTTTAAGCACGCCTCCTCCAAGTTGCGTCTGGGGCTACTGACCGGCACAGGGGCATGAGGAGGGACAGACTCCAAGGCATACTTTACTCTTCAGAACTCCCGTCTCTATCTATTGGTGCTTGGCCAACATCATACTCTCGATGGCTTCTTACCTTTCCTCCGTCTTTCCCCCAGTCCTTCCCTTGTTTCTCCCCGGAGCACTTCCTTAATACCGTGTGCGCACGACTTCCGTCTCAATATTTGCTTTTGGGAACCCAACCTGAGAAACCAACATCTCTATAAACCATGCTGCCGTGTATATGGCCTTACGTAGGGATGCACATCAAAGTCCACCAGAAAAAACTGTCCTGAAACATTGCAGAAAGTCTTTGGCTTTGAATCCATTACTGCAGAAAGAAATCTGCTGCAGTGTAGGGAGGGAGGGGAGTATAGAGGGGCAGAGTAATAATGCCTCTGGCTTTGTCCCTGATCCAAACAGGAGCTGCCAGGGAAAGGCCCACTGCTGTCCTCTGAGCTTTATGAGGAGCGGTCCCAGGGGCTGTCGGGACTCTGTTCTTCCTGACTGCTATGGAGTGATCCTGGGTTTCTGTTTCAATTTCCTATTCAGTTGAAGATTTACAACTCCCAAAACAAAGATATATGCCAAACAAGTTTTTTGTTTGTTTCTTTCTTTTATTTTTTTTTTCAACATTTTTTAATTTATTTTTGGGACAGAGAGAGACAGAGCATGAACGGGGGAGGGGCAGAGAGAGAGGGAGACACAGAATCGGAAACAGGCTCCAGGCTCCGAGCCATCAGCCCAGAGCCTGACGCGGGGCTCGAACTCACGGACCGCGAGATCGTGACCTGGCTGAAGTCGGACGCTTAACCGACTGCGCCACCCAGGCGCCCCTGTTTCTTTCTTTTAAACTCAGCGTCTCCAGAACTATTGGCCACTCACTGGCTATAATGTGCTCACTCATCATCTCTGTCCACGTCTGTGTCCACAATGCTCTGCCCAATAACTGCAGAATATGCTGGTTTTGTTTAAGGACACATGGAGCCTTCCCCAAGATAAACCATACACTAGAGCATTAAATAAATAAATAAATAAATAAATAAATAGTATTAAAAGATTGACATCTTAAAGAGCATGTTCTCTGATAACAATGGAATTATATTATAAAGGTTAGACAAAATTAACCAAGTAAATTTGCAGATCTAGTGGCCTTCGTTAAATGATTCATGCTTCGGGCAGCGTTCTTTCTAGCAAGTAGAGGGGAGCTCCCCAGGGGTACAGAAAAAGGGAGGGTTTTTAAAGGTAGAGTGGGAGTGGAAAAAAGGAAATTAGTAGCAAAGAATCCACTCTTCCAGGCAAGGTTACCCTCCTAAGGCGAAGGGAAGGAATCTGTCGGTGAGTTTCCCAGTGCTGATCAGGAACTCTCCAGGCTGACTTGTTAAAGGTTACATTTCTGGGGGGCAGAAATTGCAGATGGGTTAGGGCTTAAGTCTCAATTTACTGCCTTAGGACCTTAACCTAAGTGATACTATTTTGGGCCTGTGGTTTTCTTTTGAACAGAAATAGTAACACAAAGAAATCTAGAAGAGCTTTGGGTATTTGGAAACAAAGCAACGTGCTACTAAAAAATTCACAAATCAAAGAAAAATCCACAAGGAAAAATTTTAAATATTTTAAACTAAAAGAGAATGAAAATACAACATATTTGCAGGTAAAGCTGTGTTTAGAGGAATATTTATGGTTTTATTTATGCTTTAGTACGGAAGAAGAAAAGTTTTGAGTCAATGATCTAACTTCCCACCTTAAGTAGCTAGAGAAAGAACAAATTAAACCCAAAGTAACAAGGAGAAAGGAGATAATAAAAACAAGAGTAGAAATCAGTGAAATAGAAAACCAACAAAAAATAGAGAAAACCAAAAGTTGGTTCTTGGAAAAGATGAATAAAATTGATAAACCCTGTAAAGACTTAGAAAAAGAGAGAGAGAGAGAGAGAGAGAGAGAGAGAAGAAAAGTGAGGTCAGGGTGGATTTAGACACATAGATCAATGGAAGAGAACAGAGAGCCCAGAAATAAACTCACAACTACATGGTCAATGAATCTACAACAGCAGAGGCAAGAATACACAAGGGGGAAAAGACAGTCTCAATAAACGGTGCTGGGAAAACTGAACAGCTCCGTGCAAAAGAATGAAATCGGATCGCTTTCTTACATCACACACAAAAATAAACTCAAAATGGATTAAAGACCTAATGTGCTACATAAAACCATAAAACTCCCGGAAGAAAACACAGGCAGTAATTTCTTGGACATCAGCCATCGCACCCTGTCTCTAGATATGTCTCCCCAGGCAAGAAAAACAAAAGAGAAAAAAAAAAAAACAACAACAACAATCAGAACTACACCAACATAAAAAGCATTTGCACAGTGAAGGAAATCCTCGACAAAATGAAAAGGTCAGGTACTGAATGGGAGACGGTATTTGCAAACAATCCATCTGATAAGGGGTCAGTATTCAAAATATATAAAGAACTGCTACAACTCAACACTAAAAAGCCCCACAAATAATCTGATTACAAATGGGCAGAGGACCTGGATAGACGGGTTTTCTTTTCCAAAGAAGACACACACATGCCCAAAAGGCACATGAAAACATGCTCAAAATGACTCATCATCAGGGAAATGCAGACAAAAACCACAATGAGATATCATTTCACACCTGTCAGAGTGGCTAAAATCAAAAACACAAGAAACAGTAAGTGTTGAGAAGGATGTGGAGAAAAAGGAACCAACCCTTGTGCACAGTGGGCGGAAACGCAAACTGTTGCAGCCACTGCGGAAAACAGTATGGGGGCTCCTCAAAAAGTTAAAGAATTACTGTACGATTCAGTAATTGCACTAATGGGTATATACCCAAGGAAAGCGAAAACACTAATTCAAAAAGATACACGCACCCCTGGTTTATTGCAGCATTATTTACAACAGCCAAGATATAGAATCAACCCAAGTGTCCACCGACAGGTGAATGAATCCAGAAGATGTGGTGTCCCCCCCGCCACACACAGGAATATCACTCAGCCATTTTTTAGAAAGAACGAGATTGTGCCATTTGTGATAACGTAGTTGAACCTAGAGGGTACAATGCTAATTGAGATAAGTCAGAAAAAGAAATGCCGTATGATTTCACTTCTGTGTGGAATCTAAAAAACAAAACAAACAAACAAAAGGCAGAAACAGACTCGTAAATGCAGAGAACAGAAGGATGATTGCCAGAGGGAAGGGGCTTGGGGGATGATCAAAATGGGTAAAGGAGAGAAGGTGGTCCAGCCTTCCAGTTACGGGATGAGTAAGTCACGGGGATAAAAGGGAGGAAAGTCAATCGTGCTGTAATAGCACTGTGTGGCGACGGGTGGTAACTACACTTGGGGTGAGCACAGCATAAGGCAAGGAGATGCTGAATCACTATGTTGTCACA